CTGGGGCACGCCCAAACTGAGCTAGAGGGGCCTCAGCCTGGGGAGCAGCTTTCAGAAGCTGCTACTGGTGGCTCAGACCTGTAATTCTAGTTGTCAGGAGGCTGAGGTCTGAGGGCCCCAGTTCACAGCCAGCAGGGAAGTCTATGAAACTCAACTCTTAATGACAACTCTCCCCCCCCCACCCCACCCCACAAAAGTGAGCTGTGGCTCAAAGTAGAGACAGCAGCCAGGCCCTGCTTTCATGCACCCCAGCCGCAGACCCAGGCAGGAAGAAGCACGAGTGTGGTGGTCAGATCAATCTGCTCTTTAATGAGCCCGTGCAGACTGTGGCCTCGGCAGCCAATGGGGCGGCCCGCCGGGCATCACACGCAGCCTCCTTCCAGGGCGGCCCGGCTCAGCCTGGAACATGGCAGGCAGCCCACCTACCTCCCTGCAGGCCCCATGGGGGGCCCAGGGCCTGACTCTCGCAAGCGACACTGCGCCTTCCCTCGGGACGTGAGCAGGCGGGCGCTAGAGGGCTGCGCTGGCGGGACCGGCCGCCCCGGAGTCCATCACATGTTGGTGCTCATCCGAGACTGGCTGTTGGCTGGAGTCAGCTCGCCTTGACTCCCTTCCCTGGGAGGGGACTGCGGGGGTGGGGGGGGTCAGGGGGTTCGGTAGGGCCTGGGAGGGCGGGCCTGCCCCCTGCAACCCCGGCCGCTCACCTTGACGTGGATCTGGTTGCGCAGGACCGCAGCCCTCAGGATCATGGCCTTGGCGCGTCTCTGGAACTCCTTGCCCATCAGGAGGGACTTCTCGAAGGTGGTGCTGCGCTGATCCACATCGCGGGCATACAGAATCTGGAAAGGGACAGGCTCGGTCGGGCCCAGCAAGGGAAGAGTGTCCCGGCCGCCCGCGGCCCCCGGCCCAGGGACCACCTTGCTGTGAGAGTCAATGCGGGCATTGATGAGCCCCTCCAGAATGAGCTGTGTCAGCTCGTCCTCCAGGGCTGCAACGGTTGTATTGAAGGCTGCGGCCATCCTGTGCATGTCCGCTGACACATAGGGGCTGAAATACTGAAGAACAGAGACGCCCAGCTGCCGTACCCTCCAGCCATGACTGCACCCCACCAGCCATGACTGCACCCCACCAGCCTCCCCCTCCCCAGCCCCTACCTGGATGAGCGCCCGATTGCGGATCTGAGTGTACAGCGTCCTGACGTGAGGGGCCAGGTACATGTCCAGGAGCAGGTTATCCTGGGGAGAGGGGCTGGTCAGGGCCCTTCCGAGCTGGAGCCCCGGCCTGCCCGGCTCGGGAGCCAGCCTCACCTTCATCTCATCCAGCATCTTCAAGCAGGAGGCGTACTTAGACTCGTAGAACTTGAAAATGATGTCTCGGACCTGTGGCTCCAGCTCCAGGAACAACTTGAAGGAGCTGTGGAGGCCCCAGTGCTGAGCCCCCTGCCTGCCTGCCTCCCAGCCAGAGGCGGAGACCGGCCAGAGGCGGAGAGGCCCACCCACAGGCAGACACGGGGAGGCAGCCCCCACCTCCCTACCTGCTGGAGATGACGTTGCGCTGCAGCTCCTGCCGGTCAAAGGTGGCCAAGGCGCACAGACCGCCGTAAACGGCTACGTTACTGGGGGACAGCAGCTGAGGGGCAAAGGGCGCGGGCTTGGGGTCGTGCAGGCTCAGGGGCACACGGGCTGGGAAGTCAGTCCGGAGCCAGGGCTCTCTACCCTGCCCACCCCCTCTCAGCGCTCAGGAGTGGCAGCGAAGAGCTGAGCCCCGCTCTGCCCGGCGGGGACCTGTGCAGGCCCCAGGGCGCGGCCCTCACCTCGGGGAAGTCGCAGTGGTCAAAGGAGGCCAGCAGGAAGCACTTGGCAGCCTGCTTGTACTTGCGTGCGGCCAGCTCGGCCAAGCCTGGAGGAAGGAGAAGCTGAGGGCGCAGCGCAGCTACCTCCTGCGCTCTCCTTCCCCTTGTGCTGTTCCCCAGACAGGGACAGAAATGCTTGCTGGGGAACAGAAACAACGGCCCCCACTCGCCGAGCATGCTTCCTGAGCTGGGTGCCCGGGAGCCTCGGCCCCTGCCCCGCCCGCCCAGGCCCGCCCGGGGGCTTAGGAGCCTTACCTGCAGCACACTTGAGCTTGGTGAGGATGGCTTGGGTCTGGCTGTCCCGTTCTCCACGCTGCTACAAGGGAAGGTCACGCCATGAGAGGCCCAGCACCGGAGGACGGAAGTTGGGGGGTGGGCAGGGGGAGACGGGGTATTACCTCAGCAATCTCTGGAGTAGACTCGGCCTTGCTGACATAGCTCAACACGTGAGACCAATTTTGCAAGTAGACACTGACCTGGCCGGATGAGTGGGCAGGGCTGCATGAACTTGGGGGGCCTCTCTGACCGCCCCACCCCCCAGGCCCCCTGAGAGCCCCTCCCGCCGGCACCCGGGTCACCTTGATGACATTCAGGCACATGTTGATGACATGCTTGGCGCTGGTGCAGTAGTCCCGCGCTCGGGAGAGTAGCACTTGAGGGCATTGCTAAGGTCCCCACAGTCCAGGTAGTGGTCACCCAGGTCATCGTGACCCCGCCTACAGCACAGGCCTGGCGTGAGCGGAAGGGAGCCAGCTGCCCCCCCCCCCCCCCCCCCCGCCTCCTGGCCCCGGGGGAGCCGCACCTGATGCTCTCCTTGATGGAGTTACCCTTGTAGTTCTTCAGGTCTGTGTCCAGCTTCTCCAGCTTCAGCAGGGCCTTCTTCCGCGTGGCCTCCACCCAGGCTGTGTCCAGCGGCGGAGGCTCCACGCCACTCTCAGGGATGGCGTCCGGGGCATTCTGAAGCTCCCTGTGGGCGAGCCTGGCCGTCAGCAAAGGCGGGAGTGGCAGGCGGAGGGAGACACCCCTGGCCAAAGGGCCCAGAGGCTGTGGCGGTCGACGCACGGCACTTGGCTTCCAGGGAGATGGGCCTGGCAGGGAGAGCAGGGGCGGCTGGCCTGCGCAGGGAGAGCGGGCCTGCCGTTGCTTCCCCTTGTGAGGAAGGCAGCACAGCACCAGCATGGCGGCCCGCAGGGGCCCCGGAGCTCCGGCCGCTAGCTGGGGGGCTGGTCCTGGGTTTGAGTGCCGTCCTTCAGCTGCTTTTGCTCAAGGAAAGCACTACAACTTGAACTACAGCACCACTTTCGGTTTTTCTGAGTAGTTTGTTGGACCTAAGAGTCTCAGGGACCTTGCTGCCTGGGCTGGCTTTGAACCTTGGTTCTCAGCCCTCCTGAGCAGCTGGGATGACAGGCGTGGCCGCCAGCGCAGACCCCTCCAGCTCTCCTTACCTGGTGGCTTCAGAGAGCTTCCGATGGACCTCCTCGTACATGTCCACGTTGAAGGTCCTCTGCACGAAGGAGAGGGCCATCTTCAGGGCCTCTACCCGCAGTGCAGGACAGTGGTCAGCGATGAACTGCAGGCGCTCGACGCGCATCAGCCCGCTGTAGCTGGCTGCGTACTGCTCCAGGTCCTGGCGAGGGAGCAGGGGAGGGGGGATCAGGCAGGGTGCGCAGGAGCCCTGCACCCAATCCGGCCCAGGGGCTCCGGGGCCTGTCCAGGCTGCAATACCAATCTTCATCTATCTCCAGGAGACCCTCGGCACGGCCCCTGGGGTGAATGCAGGGGGCAGACTGCAGGGGTGGGGTGGGGAGCCGTGGCCTGCTCTGCCCGCACCGGGAGGGTTAACGGCAAAGAGGTGTGGGCTCAGACTGGGCCAAGGACCTGGAGCTCGGCCCGAAGAAGCAAGCAAGGCTGAGGCAAAAGACACGGCCTGGCCGCGAAGCAGCACACCTCCCCGGTACCTCCCCCGGGGAGGCTGGGGGCCCGGTCCCCAGGCCTAGACCCTCCCACCGGGCTTCGCACCAGGGTGGGGTTCTCCACCACGTAGTTGACATCGGGTGCATTCTGGGGGTCTTCCTGCGGGTCCACGTCGATCTGCATGGGCTCCACAGCGCCCTGCAACACAGCGGCCTGAGAGCCTGAGGGCCGCCAGACACCCCGGCGCGGCCCCGCCACGGGGGAAGGGGAGGCCCGCCCCCGTGCCCGCACCGCGCGCAGGACCCGCCGCCGCCGCCAACCCGGCCCCCACCCGCGGCCTCCGCCGCCGCCCTGCGCCCCGCGGCCCCGCCGCACCTCGGAGAGCAGCGTGCAGGCCGACAGGCTGGCGCTGAGGCTGCAGTCCCCGGCCGTGCCGGGCCGCGGGGCCGCTCTGCCGCGCGGAGGGCTGCGGCCCAGGTCCGAGGCCGAGGAGGAGGCGGAGCTGGGTGCCGGGCTGCCCCTCATGGCGCCCCAGGTCCCGCCGGGCCGAGCAGCGGACGGAGGGCGTTTGACGGGGCGGGGGGGGGGGGGGGGGGGGGGGGGGGGGGGGAGGAGGTGGCGGGGCGCGAGGCCAACGCCGCGCGCGGACCCGGCCCGGCCTCCACCCCGCCCGGCCTCCGAGCGCCCGCGACCCCCCTCCCCCCCGCGCCCCCGCCCGGCCTCCACCCGCCCGCCCCGGCCTCCGCGTGCCCGCCCGGCCTCCGCCCACCCGGCCTCCGCGTGCCCACCCGGCCTCCGCGTGCCCGCCCGGCCTCCACCCGCCCGGCCTCCGAGCGCCCGCGACCTCCGTGCCCCGCCCGGCCTCCACCCGCCCGCCCGGCCTCCACGCACCCGGCCTCCGCGCACTCCGATCTCAGTCGCGCCCGCGGCCCGGCCTCCACCCGCCCGGCCTCCCGCCCGCCCGGCCTCCCACGCACCCGGCCTCCGCGCACCCGATCTCAGCGCGGCCCGGCCTTCCACCCCGCCCCGGCCTCCCGCCCGCGCGCCCCGGGCCCGTTACCTGCAAATTGAACACCTGCACCGGCAGCGGCATCTTCCCCGCTCGCCGCGGCGCGCGTCCGCTTCCGGGGCAGCGGGGCCCGCCGCTTCCGGGTCGGCGCCGGGGCGGAGCGCGCGGCTCTTAAAGGCGCCGCCGCCCGCAGCCCGCGCCCGGCGCCGGGGTCCGCGCAGCCGCATGGCCCGCGCCGGGGCGGCGCTGTGCCGGGCCGGCCTCGCGCTGGCCGCCACGCTGGCCGCGCTGCTGCTGCTCCCGCGCCCGCCGCCGCCGCCCCGCGCCCCCGCGCCCCGCCCGGCCGCCCGCGGCGCCCCGGCCCCCGCCGGCCGCGGCCTGCGGCCCGACGACGTCTTCATCGCGGTCAAAACCACGCGGCGGAACCACGCGCGGCGCCTGCGGCTGCTGCTGCGCACGTGGATCTCCCCGGGCCCGCCGGCAGGTGACGCCCCGCCCGCCGCCTCGCGCCCCCCCGCCCCGCCGAAGCCCACGCCCCGCCGCCTCGCGCCCCCCGCCCCGCCGACGCCCCCCGCCCGCCGCCCCGCGCCCCCCGCCCCGCCGACGCCCGCCGCCCCGCGCCCCCCGCCCCGCCGACGCCCCCCGCCCCGCCGAAGCCCACGCCCCGCCGCCTCGCGCCCCCGCCCCGCCGAAGCCCGCGCCCCGCCGACGCCCACAGCCCGCGCCCCGCCGCCTCGCGCCCCCCCGCCCCGCCGACGCCCGCCCCGCGCCCCGCCGCCTCGCGCCCCCCCGCCCCGCCGACGCCCGCCCCGCGTCCCCGGCCCTGCCCGACCCGGCTGCCCGCGCCCCACCGACGCCCGCGCCCCGCCGACCCCCGCGCCCCGCCGACGCCCGCGCCCCCGCCGACGCCCGCGCCCCGCCGACGCCCGCGCCCCGCTACCCCCTCTGCTCGCGCCCGCCGACCCCCGCGCCCCGCCGACGCCCGCCCACGGGGCCTCACGGGCGGTGTCTCCCTCAGACGTTCATCTTCACCGACGGAGAGGACCCCGAGGCTCCAGCTGCAGGCAGGTGAGGCCGCCGAGGCCCGGGACGCCCCGGGTGCCACGACTGGGCAGCAGGTGGACACCCGGCCCGGGCCAGGCCCCCTCCTTCCCCGCACAGCCGGACCCCTACTCCCCCGCCCAGCTGCCTGGCCAGGCCCCTCCACAGCCACCAGTCTCCACCCGGGCCGCTCTGTGGGGACCCAGCCGTCCCATCTTTTTTGTCCGCGGGCTGGGGTGCAGGTGGGCACAGCCCGCCCCGTCAGGCCTGGCCCCGGGTCCGCCTGGCGCCGGGCAGCCTCGCCATTGGGCCTGGCCCCGGGCCCCGGGTCCGCCTGGCGCCGGGCAGCCTCGCCATTGGGCCTGGCCCCGGGCCCGGGTCCGCCTGGCCCCGGGCAGCCTCGCCATTGGGCCTGGCCCCGGGCAGCCTCGCCATTGGGCTCTGGCCCCGGGTCCGCCTGGCGCCGGGCATCCCTCGCCATTGGGCCTGGCCCCGGGCCCGGGTCCGCCTGGCCCCGGGGCAGCCTCGCCATTGGGCCTGGCCCCAGGCAGCCTCGCCATGGGCCTGGCCCCGGGCAGCCTCGCCATTGGGCCTGGCCCCGGGCCCGGGTCCGCCTGGCGCCGGGCAGCTCGCCATTGGGCCTGGCCCCGGGCCCGGGTCCGCCTGGCGCCGGGCAGCCTCGCCATTGGGCCTGGCCCCGCGTCCGCCGCGCGGCCTCACGGGCCTGTGCTGCTCCCCGCAGGCGGCCGCGTCATCAACACCAACTGCTCGGCCGTGCGCAGCCGCCAGGCCCTGTGCTGCAAGATGTCGGTGGAGTACGACAAGTTCATCGAGTCCGGCCGCAAGTGGGCAGCGGGCCCCGCCCTCCCGAGCCGGGCCCGTGGGGGGGCGTGGGGGGCGGGCCCCGGCTCAGGGCTCTTCCCCACCCCCAGGTGGTTTTGTCACGTGGACGATGACAACTATGTGACCCCGAAGGCCTGCTGCAGCTGCTGTCCACCTTCTCCCCAGCCAGGACGTCTACCTGGGCCGGGCCAGCCTGGACCACCCCATTGAAGCCACCGAGAGGGTTCCGGGAGGCGGGACCGTGAGCAGGGGCCAGGGCGGGGTGGGAGCCCCAGGGGGGACTGGGCGGGGCGGGAAGCGGGCGGGGTCCTCCTGGGGACGGCCGGCACGGGGCCCAGATCCGGAGGTCCAGCGCAGGGCCTCCCGTCTCCAGGTGGCCACGGTCAAGTTCTGGTTCGCCACCGCCGGGGCGGGGGTTCTGCCTGAGCAGGGGCCTCGCGCTCAAGATGAGCCCCTGGGCCAGGTGAGTGGGGGCCGGCCGCCTGGGCGGGGCGCCGGGGCGCCCTCCGGGGCGCCGCTGACCCGCCTCCCGCCGCCCCAGCCCTGGGCAGCTTCATGAGCACCGCCGAGCGCGTGCGGCTCCCAGACGACTGCACGGTGGGCTACATCGTGGAGGGGCTGCTGGGCGCCCGCCTGCTGCACAGTCCCCTCTCCACTCCCACCTGGAGAACCTGCAGCGGCTGCCGCCCGAAGCCGTGCTCCAGCAGGTGGGGCCCAGCGGCCAGGACGGGCCTGCTGGGGGCCCCGTCCCGCCCCGCGGGACGCGCCCCGTGCTCTGACCTCACCGCTCCCCCCAGGTCACCCTGAGCTATGGGGGCCCTGAGAACCCGCAGAACGTGGTGAGGTGTGGCGGGGAGCTTCAGCCTGCAGCAGGACCCCACACGGTGCGGGACGGCGGGGGCGGGCGGGGTGACAGGGCGTGGATGGACGTGGACGAGTGGCGGGACCGGGCGCTGAGGGCGGCGTGGGCCGGGCGCTGTGAGAGGGGCGTGGGCCGGGCGCTGTGAGGGCGGCGTGGGCCGGGCGCTGTGAGGCAGACGTGGGCCGGGCGCTGTGAGGCGCCGGGGGGCGTGGGGCCGGGCGCTGTGAGAGCGGGGCGTGGGCCGGGCGCTGTGAGGGCGGCGTGGCCGGGCGCTGTGAGGCAGACGTGGGCCGGGCGCTGTGAGGGGGGCGTGGGGCCGGGCGCTGTGAGGGCGGCGTGGGCCGGGCGCTGTGAGAGGGGCGTGGGCCGGGCGCTGTGAGGCAGACGTGGGCCGGGCGCTGTGAGGCGGGCGTGGGCCGGGCGCTGTGAGGGCGGCGTGGGCCGGGCGCTGTGAGAGGGGCGTGGGCCGGGCGCTGTGAGGGCGGCGCTGTGAGGCGGGCGTGGGCCGGGCGCTGTGAGGCGGGCGTGGGCCGGGCGCTGTGAGGCAGACGTGGGCCGGGCGCTGTGAGGCGGGCGTGGGCCGGGCGCTGTGAGGCGGGCGTGGGCCGGGCGCTGTGAGAGGGGCGTGGGCCGGGCGCTGTGAGGGGCGGCGCTGTGAGGGGGGCGGTGGGCCGGGCGCTGTGAGGCAGGCGTGGGCCGGGCGCTGTGAGGGCGGCGTGGGCCGGGCGCTGTGAGAGGGGCGTGGGCCGGGCGCTGTGAGGGCGGCGTGGGCCGGGCGCTGTGAGGGCGGCGCTGTGAGGGCGGCGCTGTGAGGGCGGCGTGGGCCGGGCGCTGTGAGGGCGGCGCTGTGAGGGCGGCGTGGGCCGGGGCGCTGTGAGGGCGGCGTGGGCCGGGCGCTGTGAGGGCGGCGCTGTGAGGGGGGCGCTGTGAGGGGGGCCGTGGGGCCGGGCGCTGTGAGGGCGGCGCTGTGAGGCAGGCGTGGGCCGGGCCGCTGTGAGGGGGGGCGCTGTGAGGCGGGCGTGGGGCCGGGCGCTGTGAGGGCGGCGCTGTGAGGGCGGCGTGGGCCGGGCGCTGTGAGGGGGGCGCTGTGAGGGGGGCATGGGCCGGGCGCCGGCCCCCCCCGCACAGCCCCCCGCACAGCCACCGCACCGCTCCCCTTCCAGGTTCCAGTCTGTGCACTGCCTTCTCTACCCG